AAACTTTCAGGAATTAAAGTACAAAAAAAACTAAGAAGGTTTTGTTCCACGATGTTTCGATTCGCATGCTTTGTGGGCGTGGCTGCTGCCTGAAATTCGAAAATAGGCAATTTTTTAAACTACCACTGAGGCCGCACTACTCAGTCCATGTCATTGATGCGGATATCAGTAGAAGGGTCTTCAAACAAGCTATCTAAAGCTATCTTTGGTGTTTATAAAATATAAATATGTCATAACGTTATCACCTGAAAACTAAAAATCGGGCTGCTGAAATTATATATTTCAGGCATTTTCTCAAAAACTGGTCAGTCGATTTTATTCTAGGTTTCCAAAAATCTAGCCCAAAACCTTGGCTTTAATCCAGTATATCTGGGAAAACTCTTATTGTGGAGATAGTGCGATTCAAATTGAAAAAATGTCGCTCTAAAAAAGGGTTAAAATGGTTAAAAATTAACATATCCGTCCAATTTGGTTACTTTAAGATATAAAAATAACATACCCAGTTCCCCGAAAAAAATTGCCCATTCCCCGATTCCCACTTAAACCGAAATTCCCTGCAAATCGGGGGCATTTCCCGCGAGTTACCAAGTTGAAGGATGCAGCTGTGCTAATCACTTCGTACATGTCTTGGAAACTACAATTTGTGTGTATTTTAGAGGTTTTTCCAGTCACATGCCGAAATTGTAACATATTTCACCATTTTAATTGTACATACGTACACAGTATTTAACTAGGCCTTATGGGTTTATCACCCATCACGCCTCTAACCTACCTGGGAAGACGCATACAATATTACCTACAGTTGTACATAAATATGTATGTATGAATGCATTTAGTTCACCCAATGTGTCGCTACTACTTACATAAAATGTATAAATTGCTACTGAGCAAAACTACTTGAGAAAAAAGCATTAGTTTAATAGCACGAGTGCAACACCGCACACGGGATAAAAGTAAAACTTCTTAAAAAAGCACATGTGTGCGCCCCACACCCGGTAGAAATCTTAACCAAAATAAACTGCGAGACAATCAGACGAGTACAGTTGTTTATTGTATTCAAAGTTGGTACCAAGTTGATAAGTTTTTATCATTTCTCATAATTTTTCTTTTTTTAATTTTTTCGAATACCAAGGATATGATCATTCCTTTTCCCTTTATTCCGTATTCGAAAAACTATATGTTTCAATATACACATCGATTTGAATACATAATTTAGATTTAGATAATATTTTTAGCAATTTATCTGAGAAAAATAAAACAATTAGATTATTTTTTGTATTTTCGGCGATTTTAAATTTGCTACCCCAAAATAATTGATATCAAATAAAACACCTCTTTAAGGTAAAATTTTCGAGTGACGAAACTGAACTAGAAACACAAAATTTATGATATCAATTTCGTGACGAAAATTATACGAATTTTTTAACTGTCTTGGAACGTTGCGAAAATCCGTCTACTGATAGAAACACAAAATAAAAACAGAACTTTTGCAACGATTCGTATGAATAAAAAAGATTTTCCCTACGTTTCCAAGGCAGTTAAAAAATGCGTATAATTTTCATCACGAAATTGATATCATAAATTTTGTGTTTCTAGTTCTGCTTTCGAAAATTTTACCTCAAATAGGTGTTTTATTTGATCAAATTTACTCAGACAAGATAGAGTCAATTCAAAAACAATACCTACTTTTTGCTTTAAGAAATTTCTGTTGGGATTCTCAATATAACCTTCCACCTTATACGAGCCGATTAAAACTTATTAATACTTATTAATCTTCCTACATTTTCCAGCCGCAGGCAAATGCTTGGTACAATTTTTATAGTTAAATTACTAAGAGGGTCAATTTCAAGTCCGCTTCTTCTAGGCAATGTTAGCCTTAATGTTCCCTCCCGGGTATCAAGACACTTTTGTAGGGTACAAGCTTGTAAAACTAATTTTGAATTGCACCAGCCACTCCGTTACTTATGCCAGGATTTTAACTCTCATTCCAGTACGTTTGATATATCAGATGGGCTTTTCAGCATTAAGAAATCGATACTGTTCTCTCTCAATAAATGAATCATTAAAATACAGACATAAAATCAGCTGATGATTTTAGTTCTGTAGCTGTACAGTTTTAGATCTCGACACTTAACAAACCCCTGCCTATCGTGACTCGGCACAAAAATTTAAAATACTGGTTCCGTACGTCATGCGGACTGCGCCCCTCGTGCGGATGGGCGGGAATGGAGGGTAAAAACCGTTGGGATTATTTTTATTATTATTATCTCTAGAGGTGTTCATGGTGGAGTACTGGGACTTGGTACTGGGGTATGTAAAATCAATTATAAATTCATGGAAGAAGATTAGGGTTATGAGAAAAAGGGGCGTGGCACTTCCTGTACAAATTGACTTTTTCTTGCCACATATCCCTGGAAGTGTTTGTGGAAGAATACTTCAACTTGGTATGGAGTTGTGTATACAAAATGTATCAATTGCTCATGGAAAAAATGTGAGTTATTAAAAAAGGAGGCATGTCGTCTCCCATAAATACTAAAACTTTCTTAACACATATCTCTGGAAGGATAGAAAATCTCTGGAAGTATTTTAAATTTGTTATGGAGATTTATTTTATAAGAGCCCTACTGACAGACAAAATTTCATTTAATGGAAAAAGGAGAGCCGGGTTCGGCCTTATAATGTAAAGCTGTCATGATGCATACATACCTCGTGAGGCATTTGCTACAGTAATGAGGAGTGGTATTTTATCAAGGCCAGGTTACTAAATTTGAGTTGGAAATAGTAGAACCCGCCGTGGCACCTCCAAGAAGGTTATACGTTCACGCGTCGTATTCCTGGAGCCATTTTAAGGTAAACTAAGGGCGATTGATATCTTTCGTATGCCTAGCGCGCGGACGAGATTTTATAAGTTCATAGTTTTAAACGGCCTAAATACCTCAACTCGCTTAAAAAATAACGAGCTGTAACAAAATGGGCACAGAAGTAAAGTATAGCATCATTAAATTATTTTTCATATTTGTATAAAAACGTGGGGTGAAACCAGCGGGTATAAGCTAGTATGTATACAAAAATCTCGTGTGACGGTGATTGTGGTCGAACTCCTCCTAAACGGCTC